AGTATTCTGTTAAAACACATTAACTATTGTCCAATTGTGTTCAGGTCAAATTTGGCAAGTTAAAATATTTCATAAATAATATCCAATTTATTTTTTTTTTAATTTAAATTGGAACAACAACCCAAATCGTAAACCCTGATAACTTGATAAGTTCCCTCTAATGTAGGCCTGTTATATTGAGAGCCATACGCCCATGCAGGGGAACAGAAAACCCCTTTGACGAGTTCCTACAATAGCCCATGTCATGTTAAGCAAATACAAAACTGAAATTAGGATTAGGGTTTTTTCAGGTTCCCATTATGTGCTATATAAATCTGGGAAAAATAGGACCATGGGAACATAGGACCCTAGGATAGCACATACATAGAAATGGAAAACATAAAACCCTTTATCATGTTCCCATTATGACCATATAAATCTGGTGAACATAAGACCGTGGGAACATGGGAGTGGCTCTGCTGAAATTCACTCATTTCAAGGATCTCTCTTGTTATAGTTAGTTAGATGCACATATTCATTCATTATTATTCATTCGTTTTTTGAAATGCTGATAGCGCTGGCTCACATGAATTTGAAAGTCAGTTGAATGAATCACACTCTCTGGCAACAGACTCTCACTGCCCAGGGTCTTGGTTTTTTAACCGTCGCTTACCTCTGCTGTGAACCTTTCCTCATTCATTACACTGAAGCGAAGCTCAACCGGTGGTAGTCCATTGAGTCTAATTATGACTTACCAGTCAAAAACACGAACGGCTATGTTCCCAGCTGCGGATAATACAATTAAACAAATTTGTAATTGAGTTTATTTTCTAATGGAAAGTGAGGCGAGGATGTTCAGAGACATGAACAGCAGATGGATGAGTCACCCCCCTCTTGCATGTAGTAGAGTTACAGCCAGACATTTTACATTCAGTGCTGCAGGGGCCAGAGATGCACACAGAGATGTAATGCGTCACTCTTTACTGTGATTTATACAATTTCCTGTATGATCAATGCAGTGTGATGGCATTAATTTATATCTGAAAAACTGATTTCCTATAATAAGGGGTTCTTATATATGCCAACATAACATTTGTGTGTTGTTTTGCATTGGTATTCTACATAAATACTTAATATGGACAAATTGTTGTAATTTATTTATTTTTTTGCATAATTTCCTGGTCATGTGACCCATGTTTTCGTGTGTGGCACCTGTGTTGTGTCGTTTGCGTGTGAAAACTTGTATGTCGTGTAAAGATCGTGAAAATGTGGTGAGACTTCTGCAACCGTGACCGTGTCATATTTGCCTTTGTAAAGATTCGTAAGGACTGCGCACGTGTCTGCAACCCAGAAATAAATCAGGTGAGGGCGTGACAACTTAAGCAATTGGTCTGAGAGTCACATTTGCCAAGTGTGCCTCAGATCTGCAGGGAGGAACACGTCCTTCTGAGGACCTTGCTGTACTTGATCAATATATATATCCCCTCTGGTGCGAACTGAAAGAGCCACGTGGAGGAAGAGAAAAACGGTCAGCGCACATTACTCTTTAAGGATTATGTGTCATTTGCCCTTTAAGATGCACATGTATTTTATCAGTGCACTCAGATGTCATAAACTTAATGCAAAAGGCCCGTTAATATGAGCACTGGCAGGCGAGCCCAACGTTTCTCTGATTTATCTGTGGTGGTACAGGAAAAAATTAATAGCTTATCCCACTCCAGCACTGCATCAGTCATAATTCTCAAGCTGGCGCCTTATTCTCCTCACATTTAATGGCTACAGAGCTTTATAATTTATCCTCTTCTTAACTGCAACTTTACCTGAATTAAATTTCAGGCACAGTACTTTGATTACATCCATGCTAAGTACCACAATCTGATTTCTCTATTATGTAAGGGATGAATACAAATGGGCTGGCTGAGAGAGGGACAAAGGGGCAGGAAGAGAGGGAGGACACAGGGAGAGATAACAAATTAAAAAAAAAAAGAAAAAAGAGTGAGACTGAGAGACAGAGAAAAGAGGAAAGACAAAGAGGAGGAGAGGAACAAAGAGCTGAAAGAGTGGGACGAGAGCAGCTATCCAGTCTGGATGAGCCCCTCTTGACCTTCTGGGTCCGAGGAATTGTGGTGGAACACACACCAGTCTTTGAAGCCAGCCTTGCACCACATGCTTGAATAGACCAGGCTCTGACTGTTGGCACCGAGTGTGTGGCGCTGAAAATCAAGTAGCTTTACAGGAGCGTCTTTAGGTTTGGCTGAGGCTGTCGAAGCCCTGCTGGAGCCTGGACCTCGGTGTTCCCAGATCCTCACAGAGCCTGTGGCCTGTCACTCCCCTGCCAAAACTGGAGCTCATTTGTGGAATACGGTGCGCTTTCCTGTCGTGGCAGAGTGGGATGCAGGTCTCTGCAGAGTGCAGGATCAAAGCCTGCACAGGACACAAGCACATTGCTCTGTGTCACCCATTGATAACCCTCATTTCTCCTGCCAGACTGGATTCCACTCATATTTCACAAGCAAACTCTGGGCCTCGCTCATCTCTCTGCTTCACTTCATATGAAATAATGACCTGTCCTACATTGTAGGCTGTGTGCACTTTCGCCCTGAACTACAAGCCCTGTTTTGACAGCACGAATGATAAAACAAAAATCTGATCATTAGGCCTGAATGGCCTGAAGGTTAGAGAAGGTTAGAGCTTGTGGAAAGTAACATGTTATGCTACTTTATTATAAAATCTTACTGTTTTGCTCCACTACGGATTTATTTGACAACAGTAATTACTAGTTAAACCTGCAATAACTGATTGTTTTGGGCAGTTTTATGCTGTGGAAACGGGTTGTGAACACATAACTCACCTTTGAAGTTGATACTTGCAAACTTGTCAGTTCATGGTTGTGTATTTACACATGCACCATCTCCGTAGCAAAATTATTATTCATTTGGAGTCGCATTTCTGGCCAGCTGGTGAAGATAAGTCCAATATTCATTTTTTATCTCTGCCAACTACTGAGGGAAACATCTGACCCTTTAGCTGCTAAATGCTCCACTGTGTTTATTGGCTAATCATTATATGTATCTCTGAGCAAGTAGATTAACGTAATAAGTATGAGCGACCTCTTTCACATTCACATTTTCATTTAATACATTTTTATTATTAAAATAAAATTCATTATTGCAGCTTTAAGGATTTACACACAAAACATGCAACAAAACATATGATTAGTTCAGGAGCTGTTATTGTATACTGCATCCACTGAACAAGACCATGATATGTGGCTGAAAGCTCAGGGAAAAGCTGGTAAGTGTACATTGAGTTAAGATTTTTTTTCTCAAACAAAGGTTTCATCCCTGGTTTGGCAACATAAATTGCAGTCTCTTCTCATCTGTGGTTCCCCGATGGTGGAACAAGTTACTGAATTCTATCAGAGCAGCAGAGCTCTTAAAAACTCATCTCTTCTGAAAGCGCCTCCTCTCCTAAACACCCTAACATGCCTGACTAGCACTTACCCTGCACTTTTGGTGCACTTCTTTATTTTGATCTCCTTGCACTTATTAAATAGATGTAGTACTTAGTACTTACACCAAGGTTTCCTACTGCACTGCAGCTTTAGTGATGTCCCTCACTTGTAAGTGGCTTCGGATAAAAACGTCTGCCAAATGAGTAAATGTAAATAAATCTGACACAGCTGTTCAGTGACCAGTAGATAAGATTGTGGGAGTGCTGGGTCAGTGTCCAGTCAAGAATGCGTGCGGCTGTACTGTATGTCAAGCAATGCATTCCTACAAAATACCATCCAAGCCTCCCCTGGATAAATCGTATGTGCCAAAAATGCACTCAATACAAAGTCTTTAAAGAGCAGTTGGCCAGGCATATGCCATTAAAAGTGCAAAGCACTAAAATAATTAGAGTGGATTTTATTGATTCTTAACAGTATGCAATATGTCTTCTTGTGCACCTGCTTCAGAATGAAACCTGATGTCTGTTGCACAACTTTTGCTAAACAACTTTGCTGCTTTTAAATGAGCCGAGTGAGAAAATGGGAGACCATGTGGTTTGTTAATTACTGCTAACTAATGAGAACCTGTCAGGCTCTGTTGATCTCACAGTTTGAGTTTGTTCTCCCACAATGATTCAATGAGGGTTTGCCAGCGAGTCCTTATTTCACATCAAATTTCTACATGTAAAATGTGTTTCTTTGTTTATCTCCTTGTTTCTCTTAATTCACTTTACAGCAGTGGTGACACGTTAACTCATACCATGTTTCAGACCTGTATTTCAGTATTAATTCTGTTACTGCCGCTGTTTATATTGTTGCTGTGTGAGAAATTATATGTGGACACACTGTGTGGTTGTTTTTCCAAGATGCGGTTTGTCTCTTGGGTATGATGAGTGTCAAATATGTCAAATCTCTGTCAGTGTCCCAGTGTACTCTTGGCGTGAAGGATTGTGACACAGACTGATGGATGGATCATCCAGGTTGTGGCTCCTAACATATAATAAGCAGGGACTTTATACCATGATTTGTCTTGAAATGTATCTTCAGTGCAGCTTCAGTATCTGATCCACACATTTCTTCCTTTAAGCTTTAACGCCTCCCCGCTAAGTGTTTGTATGGGCTACTTCATTTAACTACCCCAGATGCTCAGTCGCAGTTCTGTGAGAGCACAGCGCCATCTAGTGTTACATCTACAATCATGGCAAAAATAATGGATGAGGTGCACAAACAGTATTTGACAATGTGGCACTGAAAATTGTCTGTACGCTTTTCCTTGGGGTATGTAATGATGTCAAAGCAGAACACAGGCATTTTTTTATCTCCTTCAAATATGGAGCATAGTCAGGTGTAGAGTGACCTGTTTTATATTTTACTCAGTAACTATAAAACCTGGTGTTTCAAGACACAGCAAAAGGTTGTTGGTTCCTAATCCAGAAAGTCTTTTACATCATCAAGCTCCAGATTTGAATCAGCAGTTACCTGCTTCCTGACATTTGTTTGGTTTGGACAAATAGCAAAGAGACAAGAGTGAAGACTGCAAAAAAATTTATTTGATGAACAATGGGTTATGTAACAACTTCAAGGTGATATAGCCCTTGAAATTACATTGTTTTACAACAGTTAAAACATTCACCAGAAAGTTCAACAACTTAACTTACTGTAGATACTGTAAATACTTGAAACTAAACCAGCCTTAGCTAGCAGCATAATCCTCACACAGCATGTCCCTTTTAGAAATAAAATAAACCAAATAATACAACAAAGAGGAAAAAAACGTATCTGTTCGGTTTCAGCATTTAAGTTCAAGGACTACAGTTCCCATAAAGCATTTCTTCCACAGTAACAGTCATTTATTTTAAATTAAAATGAAACAGGTTCATATAATATGTTTATAATTTGTACGGGACATTAATTCTACTTAAACTTCTAGCATTGTCAGAGTTTTAGTGCAATTATGAAGTTTTTTATGAAATCTGATGACCTGTAATCTGAGAACTTCCTATACATGTCAAGGGCTTTTTAAAGATGCACGTGAACCCCAGCAGACAGGGGCAGCTGAGTAGACTGTAACTGAGCTGTAACTGTAAACTCATCTATATTACTCTAGTAAACTATGGTACATTGAGTACTGTAGACACAATTTCACTTCAGCAAGCTGTCTTTCCCTCTTATGTTTTTCAGCTTGTAACTTGTCCCATACAAAAGTCTGTCAGATGTATCTGTGTGCCTCTGTTGAGAAAAAAAAAAAAAAAAGTGAAATAAAGTGATCTTTTTTTAAAATTAAAAAGGTTTCATTCAAGACACAATGGTCATTATTTACATCACCCATTACCAGCAAAACCCTGAATTAACCATTTCAAAATTCATCTATTTGTTGAATTCATTTTAAGATGGGGAACATTTAAAACAAACCACAGATGTTTTCCACCTGTGTAGCAGTCTTTCCTCAGGCAGTCTAATGGAACCCTTTTCTTTACAGCAGTTTTTCTGTACAAAAGTGTCAGTGTATCCTCATAGAAGCACACTCCATACACAGTCTATGTATACTGTATTTCTACAGTAATTGCCCTTCAAAGAGATCCTATCTTAAAAACACATAGAAATGAACACAAGTAATAAATGTTTCGGCGACTTTGACAGGCCATAGCTTCAGCTAATGCAGATTATCAATTTAAAGAATGTCTGTGTATTACTACAATAGCAGCTGCTTAGAAGGACATGATGGTTCTCTGGATGATATCGACACATTCGTGCAGCTCGTGCTCTTTAATGATGAGGGGAGGGGCCAGGCGGATGATGTCACCATGGGTGGGCTTGGCCAGCAGTCCATTGTCACGAAGACGTAAGCACACTTTCCAGGCATCGTAGTCTGGGGGGAGATCGTTTTATTTAATAAAGCAAGATGCAAATAAATTCTGACAAAGATCCAGTCCAATAAACTATTACTTTGCATTCTTCAATTTCCCTCTTAACTTAACTTAACTTGTCCTTAAGCTCTATAGCACAAACAAGGATATTTTTTTGTTCCAGTCAACTTAAAAACATAAACCAATTCTGTCTTGATGCTCTGACTTCCAGTACATAGACACATTTGTAGATACTGAATTAAACGTGTTTGATTTATTTAGTAGCCTGAGGAATGCGCTCAAAAAAATGTATATTAGCTTACATTTTTCCAGCCGCAACAGTGTGTTTTGTTTTCACCTTGTCCTGTAGACACTTACTGTAGCAGAAACTACCACAGAGGCGCCTTTGAATGCTTTGGTAGGTGTTTATATGCCTGCAATAGTGCCACAACCTTGCAAGAGACAGTCATGAAACTTTATAAGCGTGTAACTGAGATCAAAATAAAGGCTGAGGTTGAAGATGGGTGTGGTCCTACTCATGAGTACTAATTACTCGTGTGATAGTGCAGTAATAACTACCGACTACTCATGGGTCAGAGTGTCAACATGCTGTCGCGGCTGGTGTGATCCCGTAGCAAGATGGTCTCTAATTAGATTAATTACCTAATAATCTTTGCTATCAGGGGGCCGTTGCGGGAGTTTTACATTACAGTACCTCTGGTCTCTTTGATGACGACTGCATTGAGGAGGCCTTTTCCTCTGACTGCTGTCACAATGTCTTTGGGAAGCTTTCTCAACTCAGACCGCAGCAGCTCTCCCATCCTTTGAGCATTCTCTGCGAGCTTCTCTTCCTCCATCACCTGCAAATAAGAGCAATTAAAAGAGAGTAGAGTTAAGAGTTTTTAAAACAATTGACAAACGAGAGAACTTATTGCTGACATGCGTATTTTTCTTTTAATGTCATATTGTCTTTGATGGTGTAGAATGCTTTAAAATTATTTCAACTTTCTGGTTTGTTGCATACTACGCTACACTTTCTCTCCATTTTATCAGTTTAAAACAAAGGGGAAAAAAATTAGAATAAGTGATGATTTGTTAAAGGGAAAATAAACAAGAAAAAGATAGATAAAGTGCACCCAAACACTGACCTGAAGTGCAGCGATAGCAACCTGACAGGCCACAGGGTTACCTCCATACGTGGACCCGTGTTCCCCAGGCTTGATGGTCAGCATTATTTCATCATCACACAGAACAGCAGAAACCTGAAACAAAGATCAGTTAATGCAAAGGTCAGTTACATCACATTAAATGATCTATACTCCTGTCCAGCAAAACAGGACTCCAAAAGTCCCAAAGTTTAAGTCTGTGACTATAGCAAAAATAAATCTATAACATGATATGAAGTGCTACTGAACAACAACAAAATACTTACAGGGTAAACTCCTCCAGAAAGAGCTTTGCCCAGAATTACCACATCTGGACGGACTTCCTCGTGGTCCACAGCCAGCCGCCGGCCGGTACGTGCCAGGCCTGTCTGCACCTCATCAGCAATCCACAACACCTGAACAAAACACACAGGACTTCATGTGGGATTGCAATTGTACTGCTCTCTGTGAACATAACCTGGGAAAGTAAAAGGTTGAAAAAATGTAATGACCTGAACAAGACTTGGCCACATTTTAGATCAAATGACTTCCAGTTAAGATATACTGCTCCAAGTTCTCACATGCTCCTTTATAAGAACTGTTAGCCCTAGAGTGAATGATGTGCAAACGTTAGCTGAACAGACTGGACCCGTCTGTCCGCTATGGAGCAATTTAACATCACTGCTCTTCTTTTGACATAACTGACTGAAACCCTTTCTGTCCTTGTGAAGCAGAGGTCATCTGCAGTGCTTTTCTACTCCTCATACCAGATAGGAAAACGTATATATAAATTATTAAAAACATACTTTGCCCTCAATTAATTTGGCAGTCAGAAGGAGACAGTCTGTAAGAGCTGGCTGATGTGTGTTTGTGTGTAATGGTTTTTTTGCACTACTTCTACTATTAAGGCCAAAGAATCATGCATATGGGAAATATACAATGTGCACTTGTACTCCAAGCAGCATGATGAAAACTACAAAATGTTGTCTCTAGATTGGTGTAATGCACACCCATATACCAGAATGCACCTTGAGGATTTTTAAACTGTAGTAGTGTTACCAAAACACACATTGGTATTAAGAGGTGGCAGTTTTAAGTTGAGTACTAGAGTGTAGTCTCTCTCTCCACCCTCTACCCCTCTGCTAAAGAACCTATTATTTGTCGTGTGCTCAGCCTTCAGAATTAAACCTGGATGCCTGCTAGCTGTTTGACGTCAACATCACACTGTTAACACTCATAAAACACTATGGAACAAGCTTCAGGCATAATAAGTGGTCGGTTAGAGAAGAAAATGCCATCATGGTGTGTTTTTATTACTGAAAAAACAGACAGTAGTTCAGGCCAAAGCCACTAGAGACTCAATATCTGAACTGAGGGTCAAATAATAGAGGATGTTGTTTGTTGTAGATTGATAGATTGTAAAACCCCTGGAAGCAAAATTGTGAGCGTGATATTTGGTTTTATAAATTGAACCATTTTGACTTACGTTGTATTTGGTGCAAAGTTCTCTGACTTTGGTCAGGTAGCCCTGGTCGGGCACCACCACCCCAGCCTCGCCCTGGATGGGCTCCACCATGAAAGCTGCCACATTTGGGTCTTGAAAGGCTTTCTGGAGAAAAAAGTGTTTTAAAAAAAAAAAAAAAAAAAAAAAGAGACTAGTCATATTTTTTTATCTTTGTCCAAGATAACCATGTCAATAAATACATGCTGCATCAGTCAATCATTAGGTTCTTATGTTTACACAGAAAAGTAGCAGTTGCTAAGATAACCCTATCAGCATTGACACGAAACTTGAGTCAGTCATTTGGTCCTCATGTTTACATCGACAAAGAATGTTTCAAGTCAGCTAGTTTTAGAGGATCTTATGAAATAAACATGATTTTTGAACATAGGGACATGATAATGTTGTTAAAATAAGATACATCAACTACAAGGCAGGATAAAACAAACCCTTCCTTCATTGAACAAAGAAAAAAAAATATTTCCAAAACAGCAGCCTCCATAACAACTGTTTGTTCTCCAAGGAAAGAAAACCACTGAAATGGAATTTAGCAGCAGACTTTGAGGTCCTGCATGTTGGATTTATCTACCAAGCACATTACGACAGAAAGTATGATGAAACTTTTGCTGCCTTTGAATCATGCATAACTATGTATTTTGCAAATGAGATGGTGTTATATAAAAGATGTCTGGTGTGCAGTGACTGAGAAAACTTTACTCTTTAATTTTGGTATTTACGAGGCACTTTGGCGACTGGGTTGAAAGCGGTAGCGAAACTTTTCTATACAGCTCAGAAATGTCAGAACACTGTACCGCCTCTCTGTGATGCAAACAAATGTAAACATTCAGGGTAGCTATCTAGATTGTGTGTCTTGACAGGGTCAAAACCTGTACCTCCAGTGCAGGAATGTCATTGTATGGAACAAGCTCAAATCCTGGCATGAAGGGACCGAAACCTTCATAACTACTGGGGTCAGTGGAGCTGGAGATGGCTGCCATGGTGCGGCCCCAGAAGTTTCCATCTAATCAACAAGAGAAAATGAGATAGCATGTTTAACTTACTGTTCTCAGTTTACAGCTTTACATAATACAGATAATTAGAAACCTGTGCTTTTTTTAGTCTAAGATTAAAAAGACTTGTTTGGATTTGGCCCAATAGTCACCTTACCCTGTAGCAGCTGGAAGAAGTTCTGTAATACTTGAAATGTTAGCTCACAGTAGATTTAAGCAAATGTTAGTTCTCTTTTCCAGTTTCCAGTGTAAACAAAATCAGTTATTGAAATGTAGTGTTACAGAGAAGAAATTTTGAGCTTTGAGCTTTTGAACTGATCCAATTAAGATATACATGACATTGGTGCAAATTTTCTTATGATTCTCTGGGCAGGTGACAAGTGGGGCAAACTTCTAAACTGTGATGCAGTCTTCTAAAACTTAAGGTGGTTACGTACCTGCAAAGATGATTTTGGCCTTGTTTTTGGGAACCCCCTTCACACTGTAGGCCCACTTGCGGGCAAGCTTGCAGGCAGTCTCACCACCTTCAACACCTAATTTGTTGCAAAACAAATGTCAACAATTGCACTCATCAAAATGTCTGAAGATGTTCCCTCCTATGACTACTATCTGGTGCTTTGCTTACCTGTATTCATGGGTAAAACTTTGTCATAGCCAAACATGTTTGTGATGTATTCCTCATAGGCTCCCAGCACATTGTTGTAGAAAGCTCTGGAGGTCAGGGAGAGTTTGGAGGCCTGGGCGCTGAGCGCAGCTATGATCTTTGGGTGGCAGTGTCCCTGGTTTACTGCGCTGTAGGCACTCAGGAAGTCATAATACCGGTTGCCCTCCACATCCCACACATAGATGCCTTAAGTAGAGAAAAGAATAAAACAAAATAACCAGAGGTTACAGGAGAAAAAGCACTGTGCAATGCTCGTCTGTTAACCATGCATTAATTCGACCATTATTTTTTGTAGTCATATGATACTCTGAACTCACCTTCCCCTCTCTCTAAGGCCACAGGCAGGGGATGGTAGTTGTGCGCTCCGTACTTGTCCTCGCGGACATAGATTTCCTCTGAGGTAAGTGGGCGTTCAACCCTCAGTTTGGTGGCAGCAGTGGAGGCGGGACGTGTGCCAGAGTGGATGGTGCGATGGAGAACAGGGGCAGCACGGCTTAGACTGCGGCTGAACCGGAGAATCATTCCGTTCATGGTTGTATGCAGCTCTGACTATATGATTAGGCACAGAAAAAAGATAACTCAGTTGGTATTTATGATAGAAAGTAGCAAAGTGATGATTTACACAACTGTCACAAGTGGTTAATAAGTTCTAAAGACAGAATCTAACAAGGACCATAATGTTTGTAAGCTGTTAGCTTTATTGTGTTTTATCCTTGATAATATTAATTGTATGTCAATAAGTAATCAAAGTAATTTTAACACTGAATTAGGACAGTAATACAGTAACAAGAAAACAGGATTCACATGTGTTTAGAGCAACTGTCAAAAAACAGTTAAGTACATAGGAAATTAGTCTGGTCATTAATATGCAGTGATTAAATATCAAAAGATAAAACACATCAGACAAGTTAGAGCAAACAACAGATCAAAGACATGCTGCCACAACAACAGCAGTGACACTAACACACTAACTGGACAGTAAGTAATAGCTCAGGATTTCACCTAAACACTTGGTTTGAGTGGGTTTTAACTCTCTTCCTGGTTCTTTTCTCCAAAACCGAAGAAATTTGAAAACCATTCATCTGAAACCTGTTCCTATGTTTTGGCAGTGATGCTGTCACCAACATACAAAAGCATAAAACAAAGCTTCACAGTAGCTACAAAGATCAAGCCCAATAAGCTAATACACTGCTATGTGAGATTCCACAGAACACATAGGCTTTACAGGTCTGCTGAACAACGCTTCTCTTTCACATTCTACACAATACAGGAACAGACTTTTGCTTGGTGAGGGTTAACAATAGATAATCCCACAGCGGCGTAGCAAGTCAACTGTGATGTTCCAGACTTTTCTATTCGGTCGCAATCAAAGGAGACTTATTTCAAACCTGCCCTTCACTTTAATCATCTACTACTGTAAAACCTATTGCTTTTCTTATTTTTAATCAGTTAGATAATCCATGGCTGCTTTCCAAATGTTTAAATATTTAAGACTGAGGACGTGGCTTTCATAATGTCCTGGCACTGAATGGTTTTAGAGTGACCCACTTTATCTCACCAGTTTGGTACTTAAGTTACACATAAAGGTGTCTGGATGAGCATGTAACTATTGTTTCTCAACTGTCTGATTATAACGCAACGCTTCTGGGTTTGCAAAAAAACTTGAAGAGAAGTGCAGCAGTTTTGAAATATGCCAGGCTTACTGATTGGAAAAAAAACAAACATGGACATCAGATATCCACTACTTGGCTAGGGATAATCAATAACCGTGTACGGTGAATGAACACACACAGCAAACAGACAGCACCTGGAATTTCATCAAGGACAGTGAACCTTTTTTTCCACCTGATATGACACCCAGTCCCCATTTAACCTGCTCTTTAACAGGATAGGCTGGTGGGGAGCTGCCTCCACACACACCCACCAACATTACAGCGAGGGGCTAAATAAGAACCATAAGAGTTTCTGATTAGATGGTATTTGCAAGCTGAGCAGCTCTTCCAAAATCAATTCGTATGTAAAATTACACCATGGCACATAGCTTTAAGCTCGTTCTAGATGTCATTGAAAGATTGAATTAAACATGACATAAAAAAAGCCGGTTTCTTCTCGGCCAAAGAGTATTAACGCTCTTAAGATCAATGCTAACCACACACGAGAGCTTCGCTTCCTTCAGGCAGCACCAGCTAACGAGCTAACCGTCGCACATCCAGACTGTCACTAATCTAAACAGAAAGCGTTTTTAAAAACAGGACAAAGTAAACACGGAGAAAAGTCAAACAGTACCAAAAAGAAGTGAAGCGGAGTTCAAAGCCCTCTTGAAGCCCTCTTGAACGTTTCCTGTCCGGTCTGCTATTTGAAGCTGATTATATGACCGTGTGGCTCTCGCGCAGCGTGGCGGGATGATGCGTGGTTGCGTCAGAGGGCACGCCTCTGTATGATGCAAAACTAAACCATCTCCCCAGAGCCACGCATATCCCGAGAAACCATCTTCACTTATAAATAACCACTGTTATCATTGATTTCACATCCGCCAGGTGTCACTCACTCTTTTTTTTTGTTCTGTAATAAGGGAAATGTGTGTATTTAAATATAGAATCAGAAAAATATACTTAAAAATATCACAAGCGGAAGTAGTCAATGCAGAGAAATGGTATGCAGTGTATCTAACAATATATTTTGTAATTAATAGTATATCATTAGATTATTATCACTCCTGTATTAACGTTTAAGCAGCATTTTTCTCTCTTGTGTGTTATTTTCATTATGGATTCATTTGTTGAATATTTTCTCGATTAATCCATTCATAGTTTGCATAGCTTGGAAAACGTAAGAAACGCTTGAGAAATTCCCATTACAGTGACCCAGAGGTCAAGGTGACACCTTCAATTCTCTTTTTTTTCCGACCAACAGTCCAAACCTCACAATGATTCTATTTACTGTAATTTAAGAGGATTAAAAGCAGCTAATTTCACATCTCAAAAGCTGAAACCATTAATGGGTTGTATTTTTGCATGAAAAATTACTTTTCATGATAATTAATCAGTTTAAAACAATCGCTGATTTTTTTTTTTACTTAATTGACTGAAAAACTAACTAGTGGCTTAGTCATATGTTTTGTATGTAAAATATTTATTTATAAAGTACAGCTGACAGATAAATGTGGTAAAGTTATAAGTATGAAATGTAATGAAATTGAAATACTCAAGTACAGATACCTATGTATGGTTAAAAAAAAAAAAAAAGTAAATGTGTTACGAGAGTTTGACTGCTGGCTCCCATTACGCGCATGCGCTCTGAGACTCCGACTTCGTCATGGCTGACACGGGCTGGCCAGGCTGTGCGAAGAGTTTGAAAGGCGTTGTATTGGACATGTGTGGCGTTTTGTATGACAGCGGCGAGGGCGACGGAGTTGCTATTCCTGGCTCCATTGAAGCTGTGGAAAAGTGAGTGAATAATTAGCGAGTCGTTTCAGACATAGTTACAGATTTCAGCTGCTTGCATGTTGAGCCTGTGGAGCAAAGTGCACGCACTCGGTTATTCCCCATGCGGATAACCAATGGGAAGCATGTAAGGCTCCTAAAAGGTCTGCGTGCACGTATGACTGAGGTAGTTGCCTTATATTTTCAACAATATCATAACAGTCAATATCTCAGTATCACTGTATTGACATAAGTTGTGTGCCCCATCCTTAACCTGACCTCCTGACTCCCTGTTTGAAGGCTCAAGGCGTCTGACCTGCAGCTGCGCTTCTGCACCAATGAGACCCAGGCCACCAGAGAGAAGTTCGTAGCCAAGCTGCAGAGGCTGGGCTTTGACATCTCTGTGTCTGAGGTCTTCTCTCCTGCTCCTGCAGCAGTAGCGGTCCTCAAGGAGAAGGGTTTACGGCCTCACCTGTTGGTGTATGATGGTAATGCTTTTCATTTGTCAATACTCATGAGACTATGACAATATAGTCATAGTGCAAAATACACCTAGAGTGATTGTCTATTAAGGGTAAATTTAAATGATTACGAATCTGTTCAGACATGTCTACAAATCTTTTTAAAATTTAGCATTTGAGTCACGTTTTAATCTCAATATAAATATAAAGGATAAAACTGGCAATATTTTTTTTTGTTATTGTCCACAAATCCCATGAAAAGACCAAAATAAGCAATATGTTGAAGCCTGTCTCTTCAAAAACATCACAAAATATACATCTTTTTTAATCCATATATTTTCTTAAAGCAGCAGGGCTCTGTAGCTTTTTTTTTTTTTTTTTGCTTTTGCTGAAAGACTATTTCTTTTGTGCACAAGTGAGTATTTGTTGCAGCAGGACCAAGTATGTGGGATTAACTCATAATAAACCAGAGTTCCCATGTTTGATGTAATAAAGTAATATGTCATTTTTAGACAATAATAGTTTATGAAACAGGGGGATCCGATAAATCAGGCTTTGGCTACACAGACAATACTTCTCATGGAATTTGTTGAGTAGTATGAAAAGTATGTAATATCACCAGACTCATCCTTAAAATGACCAAAACCCTAAAGAGTATTACATCTGATTTCTGTGACACTGCTAAGTGTTAAATTCTGAATTGTGTGTTTACTCTTCTACAGGAGTTCTCCCCGAATTTGACAGTGTTGACAAGACCGACCCAAACTGCGTGGTCATTGGAGATGCAGCCGAAAATTTCTCCTACCAGAACGTGAATGAGGCATTCAGGGTCCTTATAGGCTTGGAGAAGCCACTGCTGTTCTCTCTGGGTCAAGGGTAAATGTATATTCCTTAATATATGAGTCACTGATGAGAAATATACAATATCTTCACAGAACTAGACTAATTATTTTTGCTGTCTTCATAGGAGGTACTACAAGGAGACGGATGGTTTGAAACTGGATGTCGGGGTTTACATGAAGGCTCTGGAGGTACAGTACTGTAGGTGTATAATGGGCATTGATATATTCATTAAGATTGGATAACAACTTTTCTGTACATGCGAACAATGACTGATTGTTGTTGACTTTTTTCCTCCCTCCAGTACGCCTGTGATTTAGAGGCCGAAGTCATCGGAAAGCCATCCTCAATGTTCTTCCAGAGTGTTCTCAATGACATGGGGCTTCATCCACATGAGGTATGTAACGACAGGTGATACTGCATGCACAGGTTTGTTGTGTAGTAATGAAGATTCTTACCTCAGTTTTTTCAGTTTAGGCTAAAATTGGGTGAGTAAGTGATTGGGATTGTCAGCTCTCATAGGTCGGTTCATAAAGAGTGTATGCACATTATCACGCCATACTTGGAAGCTCCCCTCTGAGTGGCAAACATGCAGCTGTCGGCATCTGCAATTGCGTATTTACAAGGAAAAAAAACACTAAAACTGTAAAAGGGCTGTTGTGCGATTCCACTGCACAAATACATTCAGAAATAATTCTCTTGAAGACTGTTGGGTGTAAGAGAGAAGCAACATGACATCAGTACTTTCTACGGGGCTGTGTTGTGAAGTGTTCACTAACCGAGCGCACGGTTTTAGTGTTCTGAATGATGCTTTACAATTCTCCCTACAGACAAGCAGAAAAAAACTCTTTGAAGCTCTTGTGATTCGAATCAGTTTGACAAATCCTGCTCGGTGTCTCAATACCCTCATGTTTTGTTAAGTGCAATGTTACCTGCTTTGTGTAGATGTATAAATACAGTGTATACAAGCACATTTTATTTTGAATTCTCATACTCTTCGCTGCTTTGAGATGTCTCTTTGTTTTCCTCCTGGTTTTGCAGCTCTATGCAATCATAGCCAGCCAGATGTGGCTATGTTTTTGCCACATCAGATATGGGTTCTGTAACAACCTGTTGCACATGAAACTATTTACCTGTCGACACCTCCTAGATAATAGCTTACTATATTTTACCACTGGCAGCTGGAACAGAAAAACTCTTAACGGCACCATAGAGAAAAGGCAAGGCACCGTCTGTTTGGTTGCACACTCTCATGTTTTCATGTGTCTGAACATGTGTTTAATGTCTTTCCCTGTCGTTTGCTGATCTCAGTGGATCTAAGGAAACTGTGCCATCACAGTCATCTTTTTAACCTCATCCATTTTCAGACCTGGGTGTTGGCACTCATTCTGAACCTCACCCTGTTCTCTGGATTTCCTTTCTTTCACTGAGACATGGATGTATTTTTGTAGCTACATCTGCTGCCCTCTCCAAAATCTGCAGCCGCTCACCCTGGCTTTCCTGCAGAGAGGGTGGTGCAAGGGTGTATTTTCTGGATATTCTTTGTTTGTTGAGTCACTCACTTAAAATCAAAATCAAAACCCTTTCTGCACAAAGGTATCATTCCTTTCATGCTTCTACAAAACTCAAGAATCCATCTCAAATCAGAAGCCTGATTCCTATCACAGAGCAAACATCTGCACTCCAGTTAGAAGATTCAGTCAGACACACTCAATTGAGACGACACTCCCCCTGTGTTTGAGGAGCTCTTTATACCAACTCAGACTTTCTCCCTGACCCTGATCCTCTTCCTGCTTTCAGTTCCTTCTGAATTGATAAAATCAACCTTGTGATCTGGCACTTCTCTTACTACACTCCCGAGATAGGTTCTCTTTGTTCATAGCATGTCCTTTATGCTGGGTTCCCACAGTAGTCAGTCCATGGCCCCCCTCGTATTCTCACTGGACTCGCTCACACTGAGATAAAACCCGCTCCCGTTCTGCTCTGTAGCAGCGCTTAAAACTAGTTCATTTTTTTCTTATCGCGTTAATGATGAGTGTTAAAAGATGCACTTAATGCCTCTCTTTATTTTCCATTAGCATGTGGTCAACTCTCACCTCACTAACCTCCATGCATTCAGTCTTGCAGCTTATCCAGAATCATGCAATTTTCAACTACCAATCTATTGTAATTTTAGTATCTATTAAAATACCTCCCACAATGCTTTGTTCTTTACATTTCCATATTTTGAGTTATAGATCTTTTTTTTTGGCTCTTATCCGTGTCTGCCTGGCAGGTATACAGTAGGAGGAGATAACACTTTTGGCAAAAGAAAGATACCTTCAAAGCAGGAGAAAACTTTGCACATCTATTTAGTCAGGCACGTGCTTAGGAACAGGATGATAGGATCCAAAGTGGCAATCAAAAAAATCCCGCACACTGTCTAACTCGCAATCAACAATTTATCGCAACATTTCGGTCCTAGACCTTCATCAGGCATATTGGATTTTTCAATTGCCAAAATAAAGATACCTATCAGAGTTTCATCACATGCAAATGTGGCCAACTGATAAAGTTGTTAAACCAGTGTTATCAAGGGAAGGGTAAATTGATCGGTGCAGTCTGGTCCCAGTCTCCTTGCAGGCACCACAGAGGTGAAATGAACTTTGCATCCCATCTTTGACCTCATGTTATTTGTGTCACAGCTGCCCCAACCTCAACCCCTTCAGTAAACCTTATGCGCACACACGAGTGTACAGATGGGCAGATAAGTCAGTTCTCATTTTACATTTTTGTCACTCGATCTGCAGGTGAGCATCGACAAAGCTCCTAAACTAAAATTCTAATGATCTCTCTCTCTTTCTTTTTCTCCTCCCTCCATCACTGCCAGGCGCTGATGATCGGGGACGATCTGGTGAATGATGTGGGTGGGGCCCAGCGCTGTGGAATGAAAGGCGTACAAGTCAGGACAGGCAAATACAGGTCAGTGATGTCCTGAATCCACCAGTGTTAGAGTGAACTGTGCTTTGCTTGACACGATCCAAACCTGAACATGACTCCTCATTGCCCACTGCTGAGCAACAGGTGTCCCTATTGGTCAGTCAAACTATCCTTTAAACTAGTTATGTGACCTGCTGAGGTATCTCAACCCAGGATTAATCTGTGCTTTTAGGACTGGAGGTAAAATGATAAAGATAAATATATGATTTATGCTGTAACATAAAAAAAACACATAAATCATAAAATCATATATCCATATTTTGAATCTTTCTGCTTTAAGAAAAGGTTTAGCCAATTTGAAGAAAATGTTTCTATGTATTTTTTAAAATTTCCCCACATTTAGTATATACAGTGAAGTCAGTCTGACCACATTACAAATCAGAAGAAAAGTGTATTCATCTAGTTGTCAGCAGAGGGCACCCTCACACCACGATTGTGAATCAGAGTTTCCTCTGTCACCCACAGGCTTCCTGTGAGCCATCCACTTCATTCTTCACTCCTCCAGATTTGTTTATTTGATTGAGAATCCACCAAAAATAGCTTTATTCTCTCCACATGTTGAGTGCTCGTCAACCACAAGGTCGTAGTCACCGAAGGATTTATGGTCCCCGATCTGGAGATTACTGGGGCGCCTTTCTTATGGTGTAATTACAGAAACATATGGTTGATTATTTTAGAAGATATATGTGGTACTTATGGCATGAAGCGAAGAGAAAAGTGACTGGGACACCGTTATTATATCATATATATGCTGTACCTTATAATGTAGGTTCAAAGTCATGTGGTAATTGGTGTTTTTAATGGTTTTTCTGCATGTAATACTACTTTAGCTTTAAGTTTTATATGTGTGCTTAAGAAATATTTATAGAAATGATGAGGGAATCCTGAACATTTTTTATTTTACACTGTGCGGTGCTGGTCTTCCTCTTTTTTTTACAAACTTTTCACATTTCAAACACAGCCTCACTTGCTGTGAAGCAGAAGTGGAACAAGAATTTCAATTCTTTACTTAGTAAAAGTAGCAATAGTACAAAATAAAAAAGTCTTATCAGCAAAATGTACTCACCTAGAATCATCGGCCCTTTCAGAATTAATTATTCATAAAAACTTCTACAAGCGTTTTAATGCTGTATTTGTTCTCTGGGGTGTAGGCTAAACTGCACAAAAAATAAATATATGCAATTTTCCTTTCTTAGATTTAGTGGGATAGAAGTATGAAGATGCATAAAATGGAAGTGCATATTCCTTAAAATTGTTGCTATGAACACTGCTTAACACATCAAAATAAATGCACTTTGTTCCTTTCCTCTCATGCTGCAGAGGACATCAAACCTCTTTCCTAACATCACTACCATTTTGTTTGGCTATAACCCACCGATTAGTGTGAAGAGTATCATGCTTGCTGACCTGCTCCACTGCTGTGCACTGGCATGCGGGTCTTGGTCATGTGACCACAGAACGCTGAGTAATCTGCTTGAGCATCAGTCAGCTTTAATCCTATACTAAGGCCTCAGTCACTCAATGTACAACCTGTCCTCTGTCTGCACAGGGTTATTCTTGTGTGCATATGTGTGCGTGTTTCCACTTTCCTGTGCCTTTGTGCGTGTTATCACAGGTATAGGAAGCGGAACTGTTTCTCAGTGGACTGAGCTGAATCCATCTGGTTTATGTGACTTCACAGTCTTTTCCCAGCAGCTCAATTCAACCCCAGTGTGCTGACATCTATTATCTACTAGAAACACACTAGTATCTGAGAAAGTCAACTAAACACAGGATAAAGCAGATGAAATGATTTCACTGCTACACTTTTTTATTTTTTGTTTAGAGTAGAGAAGGTCAGACGCGTGGGATGTGTCCCACAGAAGAACATATGTGGGGAGAGTATTGTATTGCATGACGTGTTGTGTTTCAGCTGTGGTAGTCTAGATTTATGGACTGATTGGTGAATGGAGTTTATATGGAGAAACACATACATACTACAGCACAGTGGATTGATATTATTATATAACGGGCTCGATTTTTTTTTTTTTTTGAAATACAGTACAGTAAAATGACACTCAAATCCAAAGCGCCATATTTAGGTTTTGAAGTTATAGTTTCACTTACTGCAGCACAAGATGTTGCATCATGTTTGTGTGTGAGCAGTAACAGACATGTATCTTTGAATTTGTGGGTTTTTTTGCTGAACCAAGGAAGTGAAAACTGTTTATCAAATTAGAATGTGGCTCTAAAATGAGTTGTCATTCACTCATTAAACATAGCTACTTCATTACACCCCCACATCCGTCCCCAGACTTATCAGACTATGAATACATGCCCTGAGAACGGGAGAGAAACGGTGACATTAACAGTGTTTCTCTGGGACCGTGAGTGATGGGGAGACGTGAGATTTAACATTGTTTAGCCAAACAGGCCCAGTGAACCCAGGCTTGCTGGGAGCAGCTATAAACCCTCAGTCAATTCTATGAAAACACAGCTGTTTCCAAGTCAACCAGATGCTGCGCAGGCCTCCAGTTCCCATCACGCTTGGAGAAAGGACTGCTTCAAATACCTCAGGCCCGGTGACAAGACAGGAAGGGAAAAAGATACAAATCACAGACAAATCTAATCATATCAGCTTACTTTGAAAAGCTTTCAACTTGACGTACTCTTTTCTCAGCAAAGACTGCATGAGACCTGAAATTCTTTAAGCCTTATTGAGATCCGCAAGGCGAGGAAACTAAAACTAAACTGAATCACATGTTAATCATGTAATCATGTAAATGCTTTGAAGTGAATTCATTTATTATATAAGTTTACTTTGACTCCCTTTGACTGCCTAAAAATGTACCTTACATAATCTGACTTAATTCTATAAAACATTTTAGGATGTCAATTTTAATACGATGAACAACACATGACTGTGCTCATTATATCATTGTGATGGCTCCTGCCGATTAAATTCAAGAGCACAGGCCAAGCAAAGTGATATTACAGTGCCCACAAATAACAGCTGTTAAGACTATAGGTGTAATATAGGGGTAATTTTAATAGCAGTGTCAGGGGAGTGTTCTGCTAGCAGTCAACTTTCCCTTGTTCTTAAATAACGAGCGAAGGTTAGCGCACGTCCCTCAGGGGAGCCAGAGAACCCTTTGCTCTTTAATGTAGAACAGGTTTGCAGAAAGGGGCCTACCACCAAAAAAGTGGTTCGAAATTAGACTGGGAGTAGGGAAATTTGACTGCTGATGTTAATCGGCTGCATGGGAACAATCTACCGACACTGCGCTCTTGTCCAGCCCCCCCCCCCCCGCTCGGCCTTTCAGCTCTGTAGTTACGTGTTGAATATAATCACAACATTAGAGCTTCATGTATCAAATCTCAGTACCTGGATACCGAATTCTGTCCATACCACAGAGTATCTGCAACCACTGCATGTCGAAAATCAGCACCAAATGCTCAGGCCAGTTCTTACTCTTGTTTGCTTTATCTTCAATTTCCTGAATTATATTGTTGATCATTTTGATAAAGCCCTACTGTCTTTAGGAAAAGCTCTTGGACTGCTGTTGGTTTTAAAGTGGAATTTAACACTGATGCATATGAGAATTTAGGATCATTTTGTTATAAGTGAGAGGTTTTTGGTGAAAAGTGTTTATAAGTAGGAAAAATGTGATGTTAATTGATGTTTTGGCCTCTTGGGGGCGGAGCAATATTAGCGTTAATTTGGACTCATATTTCCAACCACCTAGCAAATGCAGGTCCAATATTCATATTCCTTTTTTCTCTGGTTAGGTTTTTCTGGAGTATATATATTTCCGCTGAAGTTGGAAAAGAGGTCGATTTGAGCGGTGAAAGTAAAATTTTGTGCATAAAACCAGAACAATGAGCTGAAAGACCCTAAAACGCCCAGTAGAGTGGAAAGGAAAATGTTGATTAGTGCAGCTTTAAAGAAGTGTTTCTGTTAGTTTGTTTGTTTTTTTTTTTGTTTGTTTTTTTTTGGTGTTTTTTTTGTAGTGGTAGAGAAAAACCTAGAAAAGGTATCACCTTGGCACTGGTATCTGACAATGTAGAATTATACCCAGCCCTAAAAAGTCCTGTAGTTCTCCATCTTCATGGTCAAATTGTTACCAGTGTACGATACTGTCAGAGCACTCACATTGTGAGTATGTTGTCCTTGTTCTCTCAGTCCTGTGCCTCACTCTTGGATGTTGTCTTTTTTTCTTTCTTTTTTTTTTACATAGTCATCTCTCGTTGTTTGTGGCCTCGACTAGTCCTCTGTTCTTTGTTTCTGTTCGCTTACTGTCAAGGAACTGCTTCAGCACAGAGGTGGGGGTCTTTGAGGCTCCATAAAAGCAGGTTCACATCATGCTGTTCTTTCATGCACTATTTGTAAACCAGTATAATTGCAACTCCTAGCTGACAGAATTAGTTTCTGAATCTTTTAGTCTTGACATACTGTCCGTTTCTCTGTGTATGTGTGATAATCAAAGAAGTTGAATTTCAGTCTTAGCATTTGCATTTGTAATTCTGCAGAGAAGACAAGAATATTTATGTGTCAGATACGAACACAGATAGATTGATATAGGTATTTTGAATGAGGGCCAGTGAGTTAGAGGAAGCTCTTACTGGATTCCCGTTGGAATCTGGCAGAGAGAGCACAGCAAACATTTTCACACAGCAGCAACCATCTTCAAAATGGTTTACATTGTAAACCTCTCCCTGTGGCCCACGCTTGACTGCTAATGTGAGTGTTGGGAAACTGTTTTCCAAGCAGGCCGAGCCAGATTAAACCTCTCCAGAGAAAACTAGTCCCTGGTGATACAAACTATGAACCACTTAGCAGAAACCGCACCCTGGTTCGTGCACTTTCTGTCTGCGGCTGTCATAGAGGGACGGAACAGGAAGCGAGCATTGCAGGAGTTCAGTGGCCATGTGATGACCATGCAGATGAGTTTTCCCCTCAGTGTTTTTTTCTGCGCTATGAGTAGGTTACACTTGCATTGCTA